CCTGTGTCTCTACCAATACTCTTGTGGAACTGTAATGGGGAATGTTAAAGAGGGGCCTGGTGGGAGGTGATATAATCATGGAGAAGAGTGGGGGGTAGAGGTAGGGGCATGGAGAGAATGGGGGAGGTTATTTTGTGGGCGTGAAAGACAAGGATGGGGGGCGGATTCTTCACAAATGGTTAAACGCTATCTCCTTAATGCTGTCTGCATGATAGTGAGTTCTCTTGGTGATTATTGAACTTAAAGATTGAGTGCATAGTGTCCTGCTGGTTTTTGTTTTTGTTTTTGTTTTTGTTTGGAGATGTAGTCTCGCTCTGTTACCCAGGCTAGAGTGCAGTGGCCGGATCTCAGCTCACTGCAAGCTCTGCCTCCCGGGTTTCCGCCATTCTCCTTCCTCAGCCTCCGGAGTAGCTGGGGCTACAGGCGCCCGCCACCTCGCCCGGCCTAGTGTTTTGTATTTTTTAGTAGAGACGGGGTTTCACCGTGTTAGCCAGGACCTGCTGGGTTTTGCACTCACATTTGTGTTATTTTTCTGGGGAATTTTTTTCCCTTTGGATTGTGAAACCTTACCCAATGCCCGTCCCATCATCGTACCTTGAAAGAAAAGAAATCCCTTTTAAATTCAGGGACTCATAGCCAGAAGGGACTGTAGCCTTGTCTCAGATGAGACTTTGACATTTTTACATTCTGAATGAGTTAAAGACTTTTGGAAACTTTTGAAAAGGCATGATTGTGTTTTGCTCTGTGATAATGACATGAGGTTCTGGGGTATGAGGGTCAGAATTATATGGGATGGCTGTGTGTCCCTATGACACTAATGTGGAATTGGAATCCTGAAAGTTGGAGGTGGGGCCAGGTGGGAGATGATTTAATCTTGGACGAGAAGGGATTGGGATGGAAGGAAAGGAGGGATAGGGTGGGGAGGAGTAGGGTGGTGGGAAGGTGGAGGGTAGTAGGAAGGGGGAGAAACCTGCTGCAGAGGCAGAGGCTCATGGAAAACCTCTACTAGGGCCGTGCACCTGTGGCTTTGCAGGCTTCAGCCCCCATGGCTGCTGTCATGGGTTGGGCTGGTGTGGAATGCCTGTACCTTTTCCATTACTGAGGGTGTGAGCTGTTGGTGGCTTGTGAATCTGGGTTCTGGAGGACGGTGGCCTCCTGTGTGGGGGCTCCAAGCCTCTATTTTCCTTCTGCACTGCCATAGTGGAAGTTTCCTAAGAGGCTCTGCCTCTGCAGGAGGCTTCTGACTGGAAACAGTGGGCAGTGGTGTGGGTGGTTCCTTCACCAATGGTTAACCTTCTTGATGCTGATCTCCTGATGTGAGTTCTCATGAGATCTGGTTGTATAACAGGATGTGGCACTTCCTTTCTCTCTCCATCTTGCTCCTACCTTGACATATGAAACATCTCATTGCCGCTTGCCTTCTGGTGTGGTTAGAAGGGGCCTGATCAGTGTGGGCCTGCTCAGTGGCGCTAGTCAGTTGGGACTTGGTCAGTGAGGCGTACTTAGTGGGGGCGTGGTCAGCAGGGGTCTGCTTAGAGTGGGTCTCAGGGGTTCTAGGAGTGGGGGTCTTGGTGAGTGGGGACCTACTGGCAGACAAATGTTTGGTGTCTGGTCAGTGCAAACCTGGGCTGCGGGGCTTGGTCAGTGGAGACCTGGTCAGCTGGGGCTTAGTGGTGGCTTTGTCAGTGTGATCTGGGTCACTGGTGACCAGGTCAAGGGGTGCTATTCAGTGGAGGCCTGGTCACATGGGACTTAGACAGCAGAGGCTCTTGTCAGTGGGTCCCTGGTCAGGGCAGCCTGGTCAGTGGAACCTTATCAGTCGGGGCCTGGTCAGAGAGGTCTTGATCAGTGGTGACTTTTGTAGCCTCGGTCTATGGGGTGACATGGTCAGCGGGGATCTGAGCAGTGCATGCCTGCTCAGCGGGGCCTACTCACTGGGTTCCTGGTCAGAGACATCTGGTCACCTCAGGCCTGGTTAGTAGGGGCCTGGTAACTGGTAGCCTATTCCCTGGAGGCCTGATCAGTGGACCTTCATCTATGGGGCCAGGCAAAGGGGTCATGATCTGTGGAACCTGATCAGTGAGGCCTTGTCAGTAAGGACCTGGTCAGTGAGCCCTTGTCAGTGAGGCCTGGTCAGTAAGGTCTTGGTCAGTGAGGCCTGGTCAGTAAGGTCTTGGTCAGTGAGGCCTGGTCAGTAAGGTCCTGGTCAGTGAGCCCTTGTCATTGAGGCTTGGTCAGTAAGGTCCTGGTCAGTGAGGCTTGGTCATTAAGGTCTTGGTCAGTGAGGCTTGGTCAGTAAGGTCCGGTCAGTGAGCCTTGTCATGAGGCTTTGGTCAGTAAGGTCTGGTAAGTGGCCTGGTGATTATGGCCTGGCAGCGGGAGATTGGTTTATGGAGCTGGTCATGGGGTCTATTCAGGAGGGTGTGGTCAGGGAGGAGCTGATGTGTGGGATCTGGTCAGCAGGGATCTGGTAATGGGGCTGCTGAGCACTGCTGGGATGTCAGAGGAATGCACATTATCAAGGACCTGTGGACAGCTTAGGATGGCCCAGTGGTGTCAATGGCCCAGTGAAAATGGAAAAAGCAGGTGTTTAGATGGACCTGGGAGATCTTGCTCAGAGATTCTGAAGGACAAAGGGTAGAGGGGCTGGTGAGATGGTCGCGTCTATGGGCTGACAGGATGGATGGAGGAAGCCAGGGAACAGGCAGGGTGGGCAGCTGGGGTGCAGGGAGAGGCAGGTGCATGCTGGGGTCAGACCCTGTGAGGACTGTGGGGGGTCAGGTGGGTGGGGCTCCAGATGTACCCTCAGTGCACTGGGCAGGTCTCAGGACAGGGCTTCCTGGACCCACCCGGGTGATGTGGGTCACTCCCTGGGGGACTGTTGTCAGGCCCTGGTACCCATCCTGGGCAGAACCAATCCCATCTCCAGACGGGACTTTCTCAAATCCTGCAGAGGGTACAGCATCCAGCCCAAGAGCGGCAGCCCCATGGTGCAGCCTGAGCTCTCCTTGGGCCTGAAGCAGCCCCTGCAAGCCCTACACTCCCTGGTCTCCCAGGTCCCGCTTTTCCAGTGTCAGCCGGCAGGGAGACATGCCCTCCCTTCCCTATGTGTCTCCTGGGCTGAAATTTGTGGCGCATTGGGACAGGGATGGTACTTCCCTCAGGCCCATTTAGGGAGGAGCCTGGCTCCCAGCCTGGCACAGGTCCTCAGCTCTGCCTTGGTTGCCTTAGAATGAGATGGGTCAGTCCGCACCCTGAAGGTAAAGGTAAGAGGCTGTCCCTGCTGTGTGCTAGGCTGGTCTAGGGATGGAGGACTTAACAGGTCTTCCCAGTGTGTCAGGCCTGGGCAGCACTCTCCTGTCTCAGGACTCAGAAAGTCCAGTCTGGAGATGGGATTGTTCTGCCCAGGATGGGTGACCAGGGCCTGTCAACAGTCCCCCAGGGAGTGACCGCATCACCCGGGTGGGGTCCAGGAAGCCTGTCCTGAGACCTGCCCAGTGCACTGAGCATGAACCTGGAGCCCACCCCACCTGATGCCCCCACACAGCCCTCGAAGGGTCTGACCTGCCAGCATGCACCTGCCTCTCCCTGCACCCCAGCTGTCCACCCTGCCTGTTCCCTGACTTCCTCCATCCTCACCAGCAGGATGCGATGGGCAGAGGGACAGCCTATGTGCACATTTGGTGGCAAGTAGGAGTGACACATCATCCCTGGAAGGGGCCATGTTTCCTGCCAAAGTCAACCCCAGAACTCTGTCCCTGAGGTGTTTTTACCAAACCCAAAACCCACAACTGCCGTTGTGGCTCAAGGGTCAGCACCCGCTAGTGCCAGGACACTACTGGGAGGCTGAGGCAAGACCATACCCCATGCTGTCTGTGGCCTGAGGACAGGGTGTCTTGGAGCCATAAGGACAAGCCACCAATGGCCATTGGGTCATAGGGCCTCAGTACCAGTGTTTGCCTTTCCCTGGCTCCTTCTGGTTCAGTCCCATCAGGGCCATGGAGCCCAAGACCCAAAGGTTCCCTCCAGGAATCCTGGTGGCTCGGCTTACTTTATCGTGTTTCATCTGAGAGCAAAAATGTCAGATCAGATGCACAGAAAAATGGCTCAAAGTGCTTAATGACTAGAGGAAATCTAGGAGCAGCAAGAAGGTAATGTGAAGACGGGAGGACCTCCATGACCGGTGTCTGCAGAGCCAGGGATACAGGCACCAAGTGCTGTGGCCTGGTACCACCTGCCTTTCTAGGGTGGATGGCACACTTCTTTGCTGGAGGACAGAAGGCCTGGTCACAAGCTTTTCTACCTGGTCCTGTAGGCATCACATTGCTGGAAGAGAATCTCATGCCAGAGCTTGGACCATGCCCTGCTCAGGGGTTAGGGGTTGTCTCTTGGTGACCTAAATGAAAAACTAGTTCCAGATCAAAGTTCCTGATGCTGAGCAATCATCCACTCTTTGAATCATGGGAGGGCAGGCCTGGTACTAGGTAGACCTAACCTCTTTGAGGAACTACAGACCCCAAGGCTGGAAACCTCTAGAATCCTCCAGCCCCTGATCCTCCCCTGGGACCCCTGTGGCCTGTCTCACTGAGCAGTCTTCCATCTGTAGATGTCTCAGCTGCCCTACAAGGGAGTCCCCTTTCAGGAGTGGGAACAGGTATGGTCACTGCTGCTGGATGTCTAGAAAGTAGAAACCAAGAACCTAGGGAAATACCAGGCACAGCCTTTCCATTGTCATCCAGAGCAGGACAAACAGGCCAGCTGGTGTCAGGAGCCCAGGTCTCCAGCTGGAGGGAACATCAACCCTCCAGTGGGAGCAGGGGCCCATCGCATATCCTAGGAACAGATGGTAACGTAGGCATTGCAGGTAAGCCGGGCTTGGTACCCCTCCCTGGCTTCCGAGAGAAGCCAAACAAGGAGCTTTCTGCAGAATGAAACCTCTTTTCCATCCAGAAGCACTGCTGACTGTTCGGTGGTTGCCGTTGTGGCAGTGAGCTTTTTGTCCATTCTGAATGTGGGACTGGTTTCTCCTCTTGACCCTGCCCTACAGACCATAAAGGAGAACAGCGAGAGGCCCCCAGCAAACATCCGCAGATGGCCCTGGACATCAGCCACATTCTGAGAAACATGTCATGTTCTGGGAGGGCTAAGGCGTCAAGTAAGGTCTATGGGGCTGGAGGATCCCAGGGCAGGTAGAGCAATCCAGGGCCGTGGGGGCTTCTGTGGGAATCAGAGGTCCCATGGTAGAGGCAGGGGTTCTACAGGAGGAGTGACAGAGCCGCCAAGGGCTCTACTGGCCCAGGGAGCAGTCAACACCATGGACTGAACACCCGCTGGGCTCCAAGCCCTGGGCCAGGCTGGGGCATGTGGGGCTAGGAGGCAGCTCAGAGTGGGAGGCAGGGAGAGAAGTGTGCCCAGAAGGCACCCATTTCTGGATGTAATGTGGTCCTGAGATTCTGGCTGGGAAGTCTTTCCAGGGTTTCTTACGTGTTATGGAACTGCTTCTTCTCCCCAGCCTCACCCTGCAGGCATCTCAGTAAGTACATTGCCACCATCTTGGAGCTGCATAGTGTAACGGCACCAGCAGATCTGCCTGTGCACAGACTTCCTGTACTACCCAGTCCTGAGGAGAGATGCTTCTTCAGGGCTTGCGACCTGGAGCACAACTTTACACACCATCATCCTGGAGCAGCACTGCACCCTCACTAGCCAGGGTGTTGATGACTTCCTCAAGGCCAAGGCCACGTTCAAGATTTTTGACTTCAGTGATTCATTTGTGCTGAGCGAGTTGGGCTTCTCGGGGATCTTAATTCAGGCGGTAGAATGCAGCTTGAGATCAAGTGTCTGATCAAAGAATTTGAACTTGATCTGGAGGGCTCTGGGGAGCCATGGAAAGTGCTGGATACATGAGGGACAGTCAGATATGTTTTAGAGATGATTGTGGAAGGCTGCCTGGAAGGGATGAACAAGAGCCAGGAGACCAGGGAGGGAGCTTGTGGGGAGGTCTGGAGATGGCAAGGGAGGGATCCTGCTTGGATCAAAGGTCTTCAGGGACTGTCTCAGGTGCTCTCAGAGCTAGTGTGCTCAGAAGTCTTGTCTCCAGGATGAAAATGGGAAGGAGTTGTCAAACAAGGAAATATAAATGGAGGCTGGCATGTTTATGAGTGCCAATCGTGGTCCCGGTGTGGGAACTACTGTGGGAACAGGAGTCTCTCCATCCAGGGACATGGTGGATGGACCCTACATCTCTCCATGCTGCCTTTCCTTTCCCTGCCATTCTCCTGAGGGCCTCAGTGCATGGGCACTGTCCAACCTCTGGTGCTGAAGCAGCCAAGAAGCCCAAGACTGGGTGGCTGCCACTTAGGATATGATAGCACAGCCAGTGGCCTCCACTGCATCCTGTACAACCTCAGAAGACACCCAGACACTGAGAGTGCTGCCACCACGTGGTGCAAGAGTTCTGAGGGATCGCAATCCTGAAGACAATGAATGGAGGGTGCAGGGCCTCATGGCCTGTTCCCCAGCCCCTCTCATTGGCTCTGGTCCAGGTGGTGAAGGGGCATAACGTTTCTGCCAGTTCTGCCATGATTGCCTAGCAGGAAAAGGAGCAGAGTCCAGAAGCAGAGCCCGGTATCCAGCCTGCCTAACAAGGGAGAATTTGTAGACTTTGTGGACAGAGAGAGCTGGGAGTCCATACCTTCACCCACTAACTTGCTGAGACACTGGTAAAATCAGTTTTCTTTTCTTAACTACGTTTCTGTCATCTGTAAATTGAGGGGAATTTCTTCTACCTCATGAGGCTGCTTGGAGAATTAGTGACAGTTCGTGCAGAGCAGGTGCCACCCAGCAGGCATTTGGTGTCCAGACCACTCCTCTTCCCCCTTGATTTTCTGCCTCAATGTGCATTTTGTTCTTAAGACATTCACTCCCCTTAATTTTGCTCTTTCCTCTGTTCCTGCCTTATCGTCTATCCCATGGAGTCACCAGGATCTAAGTGGACAACATTCATGTGTGCATGTATGTGTACATACATATGCACTGTGTTGGTGTTAGAGTGTGGTGTGTGAAGGTATGTGTGTGTGTGTGTTGGAATCAGTGACTCACTGAAACTCCCCACACCAGGCTGTGTTCCTGCTCATTGTTGGAGGTGCTGTCAGGGGCCCTGCCCTCAACCCCAGGTCTGACCCTTGCAGTGCAGGCAGGACATTCTGGAGGAATCATGACCTTGGAAGGGTCCCTGAGGTTTGACTGGTGGGTATCAGTGGATAAATACCCCAGCTCCCTTGCTCTGGATGAGATGACTCTGAGGCGCGTGTTCTATGCTGTCTCTCGGAGGTACCTGGCAGGGCTGAGTCCTGGCTGCCACAGTGGAAACTTTCTTGATGAAGGTCCCGTTAACTGCTGCATTCCTTTCCTGTCTCTGTTCCCCACGGCTCTACCGGTGTTTCCTGAGATTCGCACCCTAAGGAAGGACTGGCAGTCGAATTACTGTCGTAGAGTTTTTATGAAAAAGGAACATGAGAGGGAAAGTCGCTTGCCCAGAGTCACCCAGCTGAACAGTGGTGGAGTTCAACTTTGACCATGGGTTGTCTGGCCCCAATGTGGTTGCTTGCTCCTCACCCATGAGACTCCTCCCTTATCAGCGTCAAAAGAATGTATGCAGGACCTCAAAAGTGGGATCTCTGATGCCTATGCCATAGAAAGCCCAGGCTCATGGGTGTTGCCCGTGCACTCACTCTTATCTCATTAAGAGTAGTGAAGAAAAACATGCTCAGTGCTGACCGTGTGACTGGGGGTGTTGTTTTAGACACTCTCTGCTTACTTTAATTCATTTAATTTTCACAATAACCTTGTTTTTACTTCTAGTTGTTAGATGGAAAAACTGGGGCAAAGAGCAATACGGAGAGTTGCGAAAATTCATTCCACTGGTCCAGGTTTGAACCAAGCAGTCTGCACCTGGAGTCCTGGTTTGTAACTATGGCACCCTGGCTTCTCACACATCTCCTCATGGAGTTTCACCTTGTTTCAGGCATGGCACTGAGCAGCTTCTTTTAAGAACATAATTTGTAATTATGTAGATTACTAGTTCTGCTTCAAAATGCCACACAGCCTTGGTGTGATGAAATGAAACCATTGGTAAGTCTGAGCATTGAGAACAAGCATTCTGTTTTCCACTCCTGACTCCATTCCAACAGCTGGGACAGTGTTTCCTCTGTGCCTGTAGAAACCTCAGCTCCTGTGCCGAGGAGCCTGGTCCCTCTGGGGAATGTAGCAGTCAGGTGCTGGCAGGGACCTTGAAGCGACTGAAGGGTCATGAAGAAAAAGCTGTTTACAAAGGTTTGGGCAGGGCCAAGGGAAGCAGGTGGTATGGCACAGGGCCCTGGTGTTAGCATCTTGTGGGTGCTGTCACCACCCTCCATTTTGATGGGGCCACGGAGAAGCTGTTCCAGGAACTCGGAAAATCTGCAGCTGAGAGTGGAGGCCAGAGGAGGTATCACTCCGTGTGCCCTTCAACGGTCTCCGGATACCGCCACTGACCACGCTACAATCTCCTTATTAGACTGGAGAGGCTGCAGGTAGGGGTTCTAAGCCTCCTCTTGTGGCTCACCTCCAACAGTGAGTCAGCACCGGCTCCCGTAACCCCACAGCCCAGGATTCACTTAGCCCCTCTATCCTGCATGGTCCGCTTTCCTGCTGGGAAGCAGATACCCACATGAGCAGCAGAATCCTGTTTCTCCCTGCAGGCCCCTCTGCTCCATAGGAGTGGAGTTTTGTGGGTCTCCTCCCTTGGTTTTGGATGATGACACGCTTTCCCCTTCCACAGCAGTTGTTTCTGTGGACCTTACCCTAGGTTTTCCCCTGGTCGGGCATTTCTCAGGTTTCTGCTCAAAAGTCACCTTTTGGAGGGGTCTCCACCTGCCACTGTGTTTGGAACAGCTCCCTCCGTTTCTTTCTAGCTCATCTCACTCTGGTAATGTCTTTCATTACCACCAGCATCTGACCTGGTCTTATGACCTATTAGCTTCCTGTGTCAGACATGAGCACCAGGATGGCAGGGACCTCATCTGTCCTGTTCCTCCTGTGACCTGGGTCCCAGCACCATGTCTGGTAGAGTGTAGATGCTCAAGGGAAGTTTACTTTGTAGAACTGTCTACCTGGGAGATGTTACTCTTAGTCTAACCTGTACCATGTTGTAAACCTCCAGCCATGTTGCAGACCCTGGTCAGAGTGAAACGTTCCATGGGAACTCGGGCCATGAGAAACATCCTTCCTGTCTGCCTTACTGCAGAAACATCCGTATCACATCGTCCCGGGCAAAGGCTCCACAGTCTGTCTGCAGGAACATCCTTGCCATATCCTGCTGAGCAACAAGCTCTACCACCCAGACCCCGCCGTCCCAGTCCCAAGATTACCCCAGCCTGTGAGCAGCAGTTGTGCCAGCACTAAGCTGGTTTAATCCTCCCCAGGGTCTTGCTGGCAATAAAGAGGTTGCTGTTGAAGCTGCCAACTGTCTCTCTGTCTTTCTTTAACCCCCGCCTTTCCTTCAAAACCTAACAATTACTATACGTCTTCCTTTTACCAAGGATGATATGGGACTCAAGAAGAGTAAGTGATTTACCGAGAATTCCACAGCCAGTGAGTCACAGAGCCTGAACTTGAACTCAGTTCAGCTGAATCCAGAACTCCTGTCTTCCTGAGAGTCCAGGGAAGGGAAAGGTGGAACTGCAGCCTGTGGGTGCCCACACACTTCTCCTAGGAGACCACAGGCGGCCTCCTGGGAATTGTGTCCTCATGGGCACAAAAGAACTGCTCACCTGTGCTGCATCAGCTAACTGTCCCCATTGTCCCAAATTGTTATTTATTTTCAAAGTTTTGTTTTAATAATTAAATTTCTCACAGCTCAGTGTTGGAAACAAAGCACAGAGGCCTGTAGAAAGTCGTGTGTGAGGTTTTCTCATTTTCTTCCCAGTGACCATATAAATGAGTGTACAAAGAACACAAATATGTTCATACTTTTTATCTAGAGATGAGGCCCTCCCGCCCATATTCCTCTGGTACTGTCCTTCCGTTTTTCGCATGGGAGGACCACTCTTTCAATACTAGTCCATGGGATTTGGGAGGTGCTGATCCACCCTGGGCAGTCAGATCAGCAGGGTAATTCATTCAGGAGTGGACGTGTGATCCAAGCTGGGTTCATGGAAGTCATCCCTGCACTTTTGATGAAACTGCTGGGAATGAGGTGCTTTCTTTTTACTGGCATAGCATTTTCCAAGGAAGTAAGTGATATGAAATTTATGGGGCCATTTTTTGTTGCTCTCTCAAAATAGCCTGCCTGAGAAGCAGAGCTGACACAGGAAATGAAGGGACAGAATGAGCCTTGGTTGATGTTAGTTGACCCCTGATCCCACTGAGCCAGAAGCCCATCTACTTATGGACATTTTTAGTAATTAGAGCGAATTAACTCAATGTTCTGCTGGATCGAGTTAGGTTTCCATCACATGCGGTCAAGAGAGTCCTGCGTAATATCACTTTCTCTTATGCTTAGGTCCCACCTGCCAGAGCTTTAGAGCCGTAGAAGGGTAAAGTGAACCCAGGCAGTGCTGAGCTCGCTAGTCTCCTGGCTAAGTGTGCAAAGGAAGCCTGGAATCACTACCACTTTGTTCTGACAAGCAACTTTGCCTGCTGCTTACTACACAGCCATAGGAGTATTGCTTCCCTGAGCCCTTAGGCATTATACCTCTTTTTAAAAATGATGTTTATCTAGGAAAATGTTTTGTGGAGATGGTGTCTTCCTATGTTGCCCAGGTTTGTCTTGAACTCCTGGTCTAAAGTGCTAAGAATATAGGCATGAGCCACTTTGCTTGGCCAGCACTATGCTTCTATTAGTTGTCAATGCTTTCTTTGTTCTGTAGTTTCTAGTTTGTGTTTGAGCATGTGTGTGTGTATGTCTGTGTGTGAGTGTGTGTTTGAGTTTTTACTTTTCTCTTGCAGGGTTATGGCAAGCACCAAGAGGGATCATGTAGACGCAGCACTCAGACCTGTGAATGCAAGATACATGGAGTTCTGTCTGTTCTCCTCTTTTCTCCTCATGATTCAGAGAATGACTTAAGGATCTGTGATGTGGGCCAATTTTCAATGCCCTGGATAAGTAATGGGGAGATAATGTTCTATTGCCAGAAATTTGCACTAGTTTTAATTCATTGTATCGTTTTAGCATGAGATATGTCAAAGTCACTGAAAAAATTTATCTCACGTGTGTGTGTGTATATATATACACACACACATACACACACACATATATATACACACACACACAAACACGCACACACACACACATATATATATACACACACACAAACACGGACATACACACATAAGTATGTTTCTTGAGAGCTGACTGGCTTAGTTTTTGTTCCCTGATGCTGCAGTAGAAGCCACTGTGTTCTGATTTCTTGAGTGATGGCTGCCAGCCCTCCAAGCGTCACAGTAGGTGAGGCATCCATGGGGGTGAGAGCCAAGGATTTGTGGCCAATCAGCATCTAAGCCCATTTTGTCTATTCTCTTTATTTTTGTATTTTGTTTTATTCATTTTTAGGTTTATCATTCAATTTGTTATAAATATCACTCCTAAAATGTTTCCTAGTTCTATTAAGTCTTAGTTTCATGAAACAAGTCCAGAAAGAGTCCAGGTCAGCCATGGATACCCAACATGCCTTTGGGGAGTTAGAAATCTTGTATATTGAAGGTTTTGTTGTTGGGACCATCATTCCAAGGGTCTTCAAGTCGCTTAACCTGACTCTGGGCATTTCATCCTATTTCCAGAGAGCAGCGAGCAGAAAGAGCAAAGGGAACTTGGTTAAAAGAAAAGAGTAACAATAACTGTCCCATTTCCAAACAGATTTTCAGAAATCTAAACCAGTGAATTCTGCATTTCACATTGCTCAGGACTATAAGCTCTGCTCACTGCAGTTATGAGAAAACCTGGGAAACTCATTTAAAGACATTAATCGGGGCAGGCATGGTGGCTCATGCCTGTAATTCCAGCAATTTGGGAGGCCAAGGTGGGAGAATCACTTGAGCCCAGGAATTTGAAACCATTCCAGGCAACATAAAGGGACTCAGTCTCTACAAAAACAAACAAAAATTTGGTGTGGTGGTGCACACCTGTTATGCCTGCACTCCTACTCCTTCCCTTTCAGGAGTCTGAGCTGGGACATCACAACGGCCCAGGAGTTCAAGCCTGTAGTGAGCTCTGATCATACCGCTGCACTCCAGCCTGGGAGACAGAGTGAGACCATTTTTCAAAAAAAAAAAAAAAATTTAATTAAATAATAAAATAAGGATAACGACATAAATAAAGGCATTTCAATAGTGCTCCTTGTAAAAAGTTCCATCTTCCCTTAGTGAAGAAGATGAGAATCATGGGTATAGCAGGGAAATGGACAGAATTGACCCCATTACACCAAAATGAAAGTCGTAACAGGTACACCAAATCGGCACCATTAAAACCGCATAATGTGACCATAATGCAGTCAAATTGTGACCAAGAAAAACAAACTGACAAAAAAGGTATCATGGAGAGATGAATTCTAAATCTAAAGTGAATGGAGCGCAGAGAGGGCTTCACATTGAGAATGAAACCATGTGTGAGTGAATTGTAACCAAGCTACTACATAGCAACATTAACGTGGCAGAGCGGAAAGGGTGCTAAGACATATCTGTCATCTTATACCATTTTGTTAAGAAAGGAAAAACTAGAAACGTATGAATTTGGGTTCTACTTGAAGGATAAGACAATGATAATGGCAACACTGTTAACGTTTACAGTGCTTCAGTCCTACTATGTGCTCATTCATGCCCAATAAGTGAAGAGCTGGAACTGAAACTTTCTTATGTTCATTCCCACTGTAGTCTCCCTCCAGGGCGTGGAATCTTGTGCAACAGGAGGGATAAGTGTTTAAAGAGGTCTTTTCCACAGTTTTTACTTCCACAAGCAGTCTCTGCAGTGTGAGTTCTTGTATGAATTATGAGTCTGAGGCAACACTGTGGCTTTTTTTCATATTCCTTACTTTCACAGCTTCTCTCCAGTGTGAGAACAAATAGGTACTCAAGATGAATGAAGATCAAAGGCTTTCCATAGACTTTACCTTCAGAGGGTTTCTTTTCACACTTCTATAAGATACGAGAGTTCAGGAAGATGTTCTTATGCATGTTAACTCATTGAGCTCCCTTCCAGTATGTCCTCCTCTCATATTGAGTATGGTGAAAAAATTAATGATGATTTCCCCATTTTCACCCACAGGGCTTCTCATTATTGTAAATATTAAGATGACTTTTAATTTTGATGACTTTGCAAAGTCTTTTCCACATTTGTCACATTTATAGGGGTTTTTCTTTTCCAGCGTGGCTCCTTATATGTGCATGTTTTGAAGCTTGCTGAAGACTTTCCCACATTCCTTACATCCATAGGGCTTCTCCAGAATGCTCTTTCTTAAATGTTTATTCAGGTGTAGGGAATATCTAAAGACTTTCTGACCTTTGTTACATTCATACAGTTTTTATCCGGTGTGAATTTTCATATGTCTCATAAGAAATGACTGATATGTAAAGGCTTTCCCTCACTTGGGACATGTATGGCTTTTCCCTCCAGTAGTATTACTCCTGTGTGAAGCAGAACTTGGAGCGGGGCAGAGGTTTTTCACTTTGATGACTCTTAGTCTCTACAGTACAGAAATGCATCTGGACAGCATGGAGTGAGCTATTTCCGAAGTTGTTTTCACATTGAGTAAAATTATACGTTTTCTCCCTAACATGAGTTATGTGTGCCCTATGGCGTACATCCTCACTGCAGGTGCAGGCTATTCCAAATGGACTCTCCTCATGAACGTTTGGCCTCCTATTAATTTTACTATGTATGTGATGGACAATGTTCTGACTGCCTGTCCACGTGTTTGATTTTAGCTGTTTTTCTCCCATATGAAATCCAGTGAATGTTGCACCTCAAGACTATCATATCATTGTTTTCCTATATATTACTACATTGAAATCGTTTTGGGAAAACAAGTGGTTTTCCATTACATAGAAAAGTTATTTAGTGGTGATTTCTGAGACTTTGCTGTACCCATTACTCGAGTAGTGTACACTGTACCCAATGTGTACCTTAACCCCCCGAACCTTCCATCCGAGTCTCCAAAGTCCATTATGTCATTCTTATGCCTTTACACCCTCTTAGCTTATCTCCCACTTGTAAGTGAGAACATATCATATTTGTTTTTTTATTCGTGAGATACTTCACTTAGAATAATCATCTCTAACTCCATCCTGGTTGCTGCAAATGCCATTATTTGGTTCATTTTCCCAACTGAGTAGTATTCCATGGTGTATCTATAACACATTTTCTTTGTCTATTCATCGGCTGATAGACATTTAACCTGGTTCCACATTATTGCAACTGCAAATAGTGCTGCTATAAATGTGTGTACATGTGTCTTTTTCATATGACTT